CTCTCCGTCTGTCTCTCTCNCTACGTACTATATATNTATATATATATATATATATATATGAGATTTGTTTGTAATATTTTTTTAATTTTTTTTAACATTTTGACAAAGATTGAGAAAGTGTGGAATACTTATTTTTACTTTTTTTTCATCTTTTTTTTTTAAAATTAAGAGTTAATTACGCATGGACACGGAAAAGACAATTTTTTTTTACTCCTTTTATATGCAAATATTATGTCCAAGATCGGTCAACGTGATGTTTGTTTTTTTGATGAAATTGCCCCTCAGTTCGAAGATGTCATCCTCATATTGTATTTTAATTTTCTTGTTTTTACTTTTTTTCATCTTTTAAAAAAAAAAACTCAAGAGTTAATTACGTATGGATAGGGAAAATATCATATGCTCCTTTTATATGCAAATATTATGTCTAAGATCGGTCAATGTGATTTTTGTTTTTTTGTTTAGTAGCGGTAGTCCGAGGTTAGAATATTCAGACCGATTATTATTTTTTAAAAAAAAATAGCGGTCTAAGGTCTCTCTTCGGACTACTTGGTTTTTGAAAATAAATAATGATCCGAAAATAAATAATTAGAATCCTCGCACTGAAAACACCATTGCCTCAGCTCTTTCTCTATGTAACCCTTCGTGGCTCTGCATAGTGGGTGCACAATGGCTTAGATTGCGCCCTCATGCTGGTGAGTCAAAGAAAACCTACTAAAAGTTGTTAAAGAGAAAGTGGGCATGCGTAAGGCGGTGGGTGAGCCAAGAAGCGCTGCTTCTCAGTTTCTCTCTCACGAGCGTATAATAGGTTTACTTTAGAAGGTTAGGGCTCATGCCCGTTGCTTTGATTCGTCCATGGTGCGATTTGAGTTTCTCATTCTAAGGACCGCAATTTTTTTTTTTAAGAATAAAGAGCAGTGTGAGGATGGGAATTTCGGATCTAACAAAAAGGAATGTTCGGTATGAGGATTCGAGCCTCAAACCGCTTTTTTATTTTAAAAAAAAAAACGTTCGGTTCGAGGTTTTTAACATCGGACTGCTCTTTTTTTTCAAAAATAAGGAGCAATCTGAGGATGGGGACTGTGTTTTTTAAAAAACAGAGAACGCTCGGTCCACCCCTACTAGATAAAATACAAAAAAAAGTTAAAATACGGTATGAGGATAGAATCTTCGGACCGGGGGCTAATTTCATCAAAAAAAATAAAAAATCATATTGACTAACCTTGGATGTAATATTTCCATATAAAAGGAGCATATCTTAGTTTTTTTTACTTATATGAGGTATTTTTTTTACTTATATAAGGTCCGTACGTAATTAACTTAAATTTCAAAATTAGCCCGTGGCACATAGATTTTTTAAAATCTAATTTTTGTCACTACTTTTTAATTTCATTTGGAGGTGTTTTATTTAATCATGCTTTAAATATACTTTTTAAATTTTATTAAATTTTTATTTATTTTTTAAACACTTTTAAACCGGCTAGGACTTGGATTACTTGGACCTGGCCTTCCCCGGTTTCCGAAGCAACATCGTGCTCAGATTTTCCTCAAATCATCAGATTTTTTTTCTCCTTTTTAGGAATATACAATACAGATGCTAAAAATTCATTTCTAGGTCTGGTACAAGAATTACTATTTAACTTTTTAAAAAACAATCACAATTTTTTATTTTTTATTTTTTATTTTAAATTTATCAAATATTTGGATTCTTCATTAACTCAAACAAAAGATGCATTAAACTTCAAAAAATATTTGTTTTCTTAAATATATTTATAGGAAAATCAAAGTAATGTTAGATTTTCAGAATAGTATTAGTAAAATAAGGGAAAATAAACATCTAGTGTATCGTATGTGGTACACCAAAGGAGCTCGTTACTCAATGAGCTTTGGTTGATCTACACCATCTTTCACCAAAACGGACGGTTGTTGTACCATGTGCACCATGCACTACACTCCAGCGGTTAGCATATATTCTGAGAGTGAAGAGGAGAGGAGTTCCACCATTAAAATGGCTATGACACTGATACCGTTTGTTTCTCTGTGTTTCAGCTGCCCTCGGAGACGGTTTCCTCTGCAAGTCCATGGCTTTCAGTAACACCGCCGGCCCTGAGAAGCACCAGGCAGTCGCTGTCCTCGTGAAGTCGGACATGGCGGCATTCTTCAACTGCCGCTTCGATGGGTATCAGGACACTCTTTATGCCCACTCCCACCGTCAGCTCTACAGAAACTGCGTTGTTTCCGGCACGATCGACTTCATTTTCGGTGACTCTGCAGCTGTCCTGCAGAACTGCAAGATCATCGTGCGCCGCCCCATGGACAACCAGCAGAACATCGTCACTGCCAGCGGCAGACTTGACAAACGCTCCACCGGAGGCATCATCATACACAACTGCCGTATCGTTCCAGACAAGCGCTTGTACCCGGAGCGACTCAAGTTCAGGACTTACTTGGGCCGGCCATGGAAGGAGTACGCCCGCACGATAGTCATGGAATCGACGCTCGGCGATCTTATCCAGCCGGACGGATGGATGCCATGGGAGGGGGATTTTGCCTTGAAGACATTGTTCTATGCGGAGTACGGTAACAAGGGACCTGGTGCACAAACCGCGCGCAGGGTTAAGTGGTCTAGGGTTATCAAGAGGAGCGACGCATTGCAGTTCACCGCCGGGCCGTTCCTGCAAGCTCGACAATGGCTTCCGTCCACCGGAGTGCCGTACGTCTTAGGGCTGGTGCACTGAGAGGGCACGCCAAGAGGGTGGTGTATCGAATGCGTGTGTGTATGGAAGAGCCAATGTGAGGAAGGGTCTGCATTGTTTAGTAGTCGAGGAGCTTTCTCTCCCTCTCTGCCCCATATCTCTTTCTCATCACCGTTATTTTTTCAATCGAACGTTGGAAGTAATGAGAATTGCATGTTTCACTATTTGGGTTCTCGTATTAATATGTATTTAAATAGCAGTCTCATATTATTTCATTTAATTTAAAAGGGAATTGAGTGGGTTAATGATAGCTTCGGAATTGCTAGCTTCATGACTCATAAGAGAATGGATTGCTTCTAACCAATGTTTGAAAACTCCGACCGTCCAATAAAGAATCGGCAAGTGAAATCAAAACCGGGTACTAGCCGATCCGATTTTGGTCTTCTAGCCTGAGTATTTTTAAAAATTAAAAATATATATAAAAAATTTTAAAAATAAGAAATTTGTTTGTAATGTGTTTTTGAATGTTTGTTATTGACAAAGATTGGAAAGTGTTTTCACCATGTATATTTATTTTTATATTTTTCCCTTTTTTGAAATTTTTTACAAATAACTCTAGACATAAATCGATTTTTTCAAATCAATTTTTTTCACTATTTTTAAACTTCATTTGGATGTGTTTTGTTTTCTTTTTCTTTTTTTTGGGACAAGAGTGCTTTAATTTTTATTAAATCAATAATCTTGTTAAAATTATATCAAGAGCTAAAATAAAGAGTGGGAGACTACTAAAAAGTCTAAGAAAGCTCTCTTCTTAGCCAAATCATATGCAATGGCATTCGCTTCTCTATAAACATGATTGAAACTGAGAGAAAAATCATTCAAGATATCCAAAACCTACAACCAAAATGATCTTAGGCCATACAGTGGTCTAGAAGATCTGTCACACTAGTTGATTACATTTAGAGAATCTCCTTCTATGACCATAGAGTTTCCCAATTTATTTTCTTTCCATATCGAAATCCCTTGTAGCAACGCTGCCATTTTAGCATGATGGGTTGTAGCCACACCACATGGGGTTGCATAACAAAACATAATACCATTACTATCTCGACATACAACCCAATCCCTGCCCTGCCTGGACTGCCACAAAAAGATCCATCAAAATTAAGCTTGAAACATCGAGTCCATTTGCATTTTGGCCTAAACTTTAAAAAGCGAAAAGACACCAAATGAGTTGTATTTTATTCCACATCAGGCTGGGATAACTCCCACCCCTCCTTTGTAATACTAAACTAGCTCTAAACTCAGTATAAGATTTTGTTTTGAGCTTCTTGTAACTCGAATGACACACCCTCAAATGTACATCTATTCCTTTCTAACCAAATCTCCCATAAAGTAGCTCCTTGGAAAATATCCCATAGAATTCCTTCACCTTGCAAACCGTGAATTTTCATTTGAGAGACAATGTAGAATACCGAAGATGGTAGAGCAAAAGATACACCTATTTTCTGTGTTGCCCAACACCATAGCAGATAAGCAAATTGACAATGAAGGAACAAACTTTAGCATTTTTACAAGAAAGACATTTATTGACCAAAATTATAAATCTTTTCCATAGATTATGGACAGTAAAGACCTTAACTTGCACCAAAATCCAAATGAAAGACTGAACTTAGTGAGGGACTCTCCACTTCCATATCTCTTTAAGAGGTGGCATGTTCCATCTTACATGGTTATGAGAATAGACCATCAGGTTCCAGGTCCCAAACAACCTCGTCCGTGGCAGGGAGAGATTTATGGCTTTTTTCCAGCACCTTAAGCACCTCCATATACTAATCAGCAACAAAATGCAAAATGCGATTATAAATACAATTAATATACCACACGTTTGGCCATTTGAAATACCCACTTTGTTAACCTTAGCCATCGGTTGAGAACTTTTCTAGTGTAAATCAGGATAAATCAATTTGAAAGGTGCATCAGATGCCTATTTAGAATGCCATATGCTCAATTGGATGTGTTTTGTTTAATCATGCTTTAAATATATTTTTTATATTTTTTTTAAATACTTTTTAGATTGTCCAGGATCTGTCCGGTTAGACCGGTTGAACAAGTCGGTTTATTGGTCACTCAAACCCAGCTCTTTGCCGGTTTCTGAGGCTGGTTCGATTTTTCGAACATTGCTTCCAAATGTTGTGAACTTGCGATTCAAAATTCCAAATTTAAGTTCAAACAAACGCTCCATTCACGATGCACATGTTTCCACCATGCTCCAAATCATGTAATATTGCCCTACTTTATGAAAATACGGTCATGTGTGTTTCAGTAACAGATATAGATGCGAAAGTAAGAAACTTTAACTCATATTCATCTATTATTTGGCTAAAAGGGGTGAAGTTTACGGGAGAAAATCTACATGAAATGTCTAAATTTTTAAAGTTTCAGATATGAAGATCATAAAATAATTTCGATGCGTGTGTCCATGTGTCCATATTACATAGGCACGTACACATGGGAATGGAGATCTAAAGTGTTTTTTTTTTCTTTCTTTTCTTTTTTTTATTAAAAGAAAAAGCTTTAGGAATGGCTATGAGCAAATTGCTTTCAGTTCCACTCATAGGCTCCCAATCGTCTAGAACCGATCGGACATCTACGGTTCTGTATTAATATCCAAAAAATAATTTTTTAAAAAATTAAGATTGATGTCAAATTTTGAGGGTGTGTTAGCCTCACTCTTGTGCACCTAAAAAAAAGATAATTCAAAAAATGACCAAAGTAACTTTACAAAATCCATGGGATATTGGTTATTTTTATTTTTAAATTATCTTTTTTATTTTCTTGGTGAATTCTAGTCAATCTATAAAAAGAACAAAAAAAAGATAAATCAAATATTATAATGTTATTACAACCATCATATCAAATCTGAATCATTTTTAGATCGTACCAATAAAAACACTTATTTACATATGGTAGTTGAAGTATTCGTGACCTTTGTGTATGACAAGAAGTATTACCTAGTTATTTGCATCTGGCACTTAGTCAACACATGGATACTTCAACTCATGTCAATACATTTCGAACACGGAATCGACACTTGCCACTATTAAAATGATAATAGGTTCTAGCGCATCGATACTCCTATATAAAAGAAAGACTAATGCGATCTTGTAGGAGGATATATTTTTTTTATTTTATTTTTTTTCACCTTTTTTTTTTTCTTTTAACAAAGATCACTTATAAGTAGTTTTATTACAATAACTCTTGCTTCAAATAAAATAAAACTAATAAATCTAATATTTTTAAAACCTTGATGTCATAAAACCAATTTTCTTTAAACAAAAAAATTATCCACAATTCTTATGCTTGAGAATATGAAGACAATATAATTAAATATGGTAATAAACAAAAAGAGAATGTCGGAGATTACTACAACCGAGCTTATTACACCCCACATCAAGTCATCACCATCCGATGGCGTGGGATCAACCTTCAATCTCAACAGGAAAATCAAGTTTAGGCCAAGCCATATAATGGAATTATAAACTCTTTTATCACAAGTCTCAAACTCTTAGGTGAATGCCCTTAGCAACCTAGTTTGATAGAAATACTTCTATTTTGTACCACAACCCTATAATCTAAAACTACAATGATAGATAAGAGATCATGAGAGAGTTGAAAGAACCACCTTGAGAGACATATCAAAGATGAGAGAGTAGGGTGTGCCCTTTTGGGTCTCTTGAGAGAGAGAGAGAGAAACTTTTTTAAGAAAGAGATATTTGAAGAGAGAAACTTTCTTAAGAGAGAGATATATTCTAAGTGGGCCATGCCATCTTTGTGGGATATGAAAGAGAGACGAGAATTAGGTATAAGATATACGGTGTAAAGATTTTGGTAGAGATCAATCCCTCTTTTATAGTGATTGAACAAGATTAGGGTTTCTTAGGTTTTTCTTGACTTGCATCTTCTTGTGAGATTGAATATGAACCATTGATATTATGTGACTTGTACTGTGAGAGATTTGAGCCCTTCATTTCATAGATGGGAGGTGCTAGACCTTTTATCCCCCATTCTTAAACAATTTTCCCATCAATAGAAATTAAATAAAATAATTCTATTCATAATATAGTGCTTACCAAAATTATGTACAAGCATTCTCATGCTTTCCAAAAATCCTTAGAAGGCTTCCGGCAAAATCTTTTCAAAACACTTCAAAGCTTTCTCTTTAAGCCAAAGCTTGAACTAACACAATGAAAGTTTCATTAGGGTGAGGTGTGCCACCTTAGGTGGTACTTCATGGGCCCTACCCACATGCAATGGTGGGCCCATTAACATATTGGGCCTCCCATGTAATATTAAAATTATTAAACTTAATTATATGATTTTTAGAAATCTATAAAATCAAATTTGAATATTTAAATCAATCTAAAATCAATATATCTGTTATTATAAAGCCAAATTTGATAAATAAAAGATCCAGAGATATGAAAAAATTCAAATAATAATTCTAGAAATCATATATCATTAAAGCAAGCATAAGTAAATTCATTAGATGGAAAATGGATCTATATAGTCTAGGAATTAAATAAATAAATGATGGGCACTCCATCTTCAATTATAGACTACGGTCCACACTTACTTTATCAAACAGACCCAGTGTTTCCCATGATACACAATCCATGTAGGGGCTCATTAGTGGGTCACCAAAGTTTGGCTAATGAGCCAAGATGTCATAATCCCAGTTTGTGGATTTCAAGTTCTCTCCTACAGACGTACCAAGGTCACCTAGACATGAAGCAACCACAACTCCTATGATGCATAGGGATATATCTCGCACATGTGTAAGCTTTATCCTAAAAGGTGGTTTGTATGCCATGTGATGGCTCACGGATGAGGCTTTGGCCTCCGTCTTTGAAGGCCACCATCACACACAAGGATTACACAGTCCCTCAGCTCACTCATCCAGGCATACTCCAACTTCATCAAGGGATAACCTATTAGAACTCTTATTGGAAAGTTTTCTATGCCCAGGTAGCATAAGTTTTTTCCAACCGACTAGCCTAACTTGTCAAGCTCAGACCGGTATCAGTAAACATCATTTGCTTAGTATGGTTCACGAGGGACCATACTCTCATTGAGTTTATGTTCCACTATATCATTTCATTTTACAAACACTCAAAATGCCTTTAATGGCCACATTCACCCAACACTATAGTGGATGCTTATA